TCCCCCCCCCTGCCTTCCCCCCGGCCCTAACGTCGGCGGCACCCCATCCAGCAGCCCCGGGATACAGGTGGAGACCCAGCATGCCAGCCTGCCGAGGGCCCCGGACCCCCAGCTCACAGCACTCACGCCCCTGAGGCAGATACCCTGGGGCAAGCTGGGACCAGGCTGTTTCCGAGGATGTGGTCTCGTCACCGGGCCCTGAGCAAGGCGGGAGATGTCACCAGAGCGTGCTCCTTAAATGGAAGGTTTCCTCCCCCAGGGTCAGCGACGAGAAAGATGCCCGGGGCTACCTCCAGGCTCTGGCTTCCAAGATGACCGAAGAGCTCGAGGCCCTGAGGAGCTCTAGTCTGGGGTCCAGGACGCTGGTAGGTCTCGCTCTTGGCCCGTGTTTATTACGCAGGTATCTAACAGTCTTAGCCTGGCTGTGGTGGCAGCGTTGAGGTACTGTTGAGCCACTCCACAGCTGAAGGGGCTTCTGGGGGCCAGCGACTACTAACTGGACGTGAGGAGCCCTGCACTGTTAGCGGTCGTGAGGTCGCGGTGTCTTGGGATCGCAGTGTGGCTCGGCAGTGTGCTCTTGGATCCGCAGGACCAGAACCAGCCTGTTCTCAGACTTGGTCTCCTGCCTGCTCACTTGGCCAGTGCTCCAGCCTCAGCGGGCTCCCACAGTGTGGCAGGCACTGTCGTGTGGCACTGGCTTGATGGTTCCGTTGCCCAGTGGAGCAAGCTCTCGCCACCGTCTTTTTCCCTGTCTCATTTGCCCCTTTGAAAATATGTATAGTAGGGACCAGCAGGTGGCATGGTGGTTAAGACACTGAATTCCTACATGGCCAGCTACGGTTTGAATCCTGGACCTGGTGGCTTAAAAATCACACTGGGTACGTGTGCACGTGTGCCCAAAATCCCAGGAGGAGAATGAAGGAGGGGATTATGGCATGGCCATCCCCTCTGGGGGATGATTTCTCACTTTGTCACTCATTGTCTCTCTGTTCAGCAAGCGCATGAGCCCTATGGCCAAAAAAAAAAAAAAAAAAGTATATTTGCTATTTAATGAATAATTTATAAAATAGAGGGATAGTAAAAAAGTACCAAAATTTAGTAAACCTAAATTTTGATGCCATATTTTCCTAACTTACAGGTGTATTTACCCCAAAGCCATGCCACCTTTGAATGAGGCTAACTGCTCTACACAGTTAACCACACCAATGCCAGGCCCTGCTTCAGCCTGCCTAGGTCCTGGCTCACCAGGTGCTTCTCTGCCTCCTCGCACTTGTGTCAGGAAAACATGGCGCATCTTTCTCCTTTCTATGAGAGGTGCAAGGGGGCACCTCCCACGGGGTCTTCGCGCCCCTCTCCCGCCTCCCAGCTCCTCCGTCTCAGGTGCTCACGCTCGCGCCCTGTGCCTGGGGTGTCCAGCTGACGGGGCTGTGGATTCCAACCACGGTCGCCAGGCAGGGGCGGCTCTCATCGCTGTGCCCAGGGGTGGTCCAGTACAGTACATTTGAAAGCACTGGCAGTTCACTGTTCTGTTGAAGAAAGGAGTTCCGCCACGTTCCGAGCTCCACGCGGGAAAACATTTTCAGGTCTAACTTGCAGACAGCCATTAGAATGACCCAGGTTCCTCATGGGCATGTTTTCACCCTCAGCCGTGTTCACTTATGTGCTGTCGGCACACCTGCCTGCGTTCGTGAGCTGCATGAAATACGCTTCGTGCACAAACCTCGTAACAGGGAAGCGTCCCACGTGGGTCCCGTTCGCACAGGGACCGTTGAAATGCTGCGTGGACAGTTCTTCCTGTTGAAGGACTGACTGGCCGAGGATGTATTTCCTTCTTGTTTTTAGAAGTACATGGTTCTCTCAGCAGTTACATTTTTTGTTAGAGGGTGCGTGTTTGCTGGAGAGAGTACAGAGAGGGCAGGGGACACTCCCCAGGGGGAATGGCCACGCCGTAGTCCCTTCTCCCTCACCTCTCCATCCCTTCAGCTGCACACGTGTGCTTGGGGTGTCTCCTAAGCTGTCAGGGCCAGGACCTGAACCACGTGATCAGCTGTGCCTTAGTCACCAGGTCACAGAGCAGCCCCTCGGCAGTACGTGGTCCCCCGAGACCATCCTCACAGCCGGTCTCTCCGTCGTCAGTGCTGACTGGAGTGTGCTGTCCGCCCCTGCCCACCCTGGCTCTCCGGTGAAGCATCTTCCTCAGCTTTCTGTCGCTCCTGTTCCGGGGAGAGAATGAGACACTCTCAGCCGTGTTCAGTGAAAGCTGGCCGCCACAATGGCACCTCCAGATGTCCTTGACACCACCGGAGCGTCGATGGGCTGTGCTGAGCCAGGCTGGTTGGGTCACTGCTGCCTCGACTTCAGGTCAGGCGCTGTCCTTCCCTTTGCCTGCTTCCAGCAGGTCAGTCTGAGCAGCGACAGAGTGCAGGGTGATGGGAGCCAAACCGTCAAGGTGCAGGCAGAGGTAGCAGACCCTGTCATGTAGCGTAGGATCTTTTTTTTTTTTGGAGAGGTTTTCTCTATAGGGTGCGTGCGCTCGCCAGACAGAGAGAGAGAGACAGAGAGACAGAAAGCGAGAAATCACCCCCAGGGGGGATGGTCACGCCGCAGTCTCTTCTCTTCTCCTCCATTCTCCTTCCGGGATCTTGGGCGCGCACGCACACGCGCCCGGCGTGAGTTTTGTTTTGTTTTTGTTTTTGTTTTTGTTTTTTTGAGAGGTTTTTGCTATAGGGCGCGTGCGCTCGCCAGACAGACAGAGAGAGACAGAGAGACAGAAAGTGAGAAATCACCCCCGGGGGGGATGGTCACGCCGCAATCCCTTCTCCTCCATTCTCCTCTCGGGATCTTGGGCACGCACGCACAAGCACCCGGCGTGAGTTTTAAGCCACTGAGTCCGGGATGCGAACCGCGGTCGACTATGTGGGAGTCCAGCGACATAGCCATTACGCTCACTGCTGGTTCCCTGCAGTGTAGGATCTTAAAACTGTCCAGTGGGCCCATGTAGAAGCCGTGCTTTGGAATCAGCTCTATGCTTATACAAAAAGTAGGTAAGTTCGGTGTCCTAGAAGACTTTTAAGAAAGAAGAAGAGTCATAAAATGACTGACCTGGAGTCTGGTGGGCCTTGTTAGTATCTGATGGTTCCTATTTAATGTGGTGGTGCAGGTCCAAGCGGAGGAGAGGAGGAACTTCTGACACGTGAGCGTCGGTTTGCCTAACAGGTGAGTAGCTTAGAAACGTGTCTCACGTCCTCGCCGCTGTCTGCAGGACCCGCTGTGGAAGGTGCGCCGGAGCCAGAAGCTAGACATGTCTGCACGGCTAGAGCTGCAGTCCGCCCTGGAGGCCGAGATCCGGGCCAAGCAGCTCGTGCAGGAGGAGCTGAGGAAGGTCAAAGACACGAACCTCGCCTTCGAAAGGTACTCTGGTACAGTGGGACTGGGCAGCACTTGCTGTCGTGCACGGTGAGGGCTGAAAGTCAGGCGGGTGGAAGAGCCTAGAGGTCGTGAAGTTGCTGGCCCCAAGTAGGTGCCTGATAGGACTCTGGCTGGCTGTCCACCTGGGCCGCACCTGCCCAGGGTTGCATGTGAAAGTTCTCAGGAGACCAAGGCCACGAGAGCTGTGAGTGTCAGAGTGCTGGAGAGATGCTCGTGTCCCCATGTGGGGTGGCAGGATTCATATGCCTGACAGGCATCCCCCAGGGTTCCTGTCTCCTCGGTACCATTTATCTGCTCAGACTCTTCCTGCTTTCAGTTAAAGCTAATATTTTGAAATAGGGTTTCCAGCATTTTGCTGGTTCAAAATTATTTTCCTCACTTACTGCAGCCGTGAGCACTGCGTCTATATAGCAGTAAGCCAGGACTCGCTGCAGCCGTGGGAGCGCTGTCTACACAGCAGTAAGCCAGGACTCGCTGCAGCCGTGAGCGCTGTCTACACAGCAGTAAGGCAGGG